CTGGAGGACCGTAACGCGCACAAGGAGTAGTATGTTGTAATTGTAATACAATCATGCATGCTGTGGGACTGTTATCAGTCACTGCAAAATTTATTTATCATTACCTTGATATATTGTTTGTGGTCTGGAAAATGAAAAGTGTCAGGAAACTTCAGTGGGTCCAGGTAGCAGCCTAGCAGCAGCCAGACTGCTAACTGGAGCTGGGGAGAGGAGTCACACAACCCCCCTGTTACAGCAGCTCCACTGGCTGCCGATCTGTTTCTGGGCTGAATTCAAAGTGGTGGTTCTAACCTATTAAGTCCCAAACAGTTTGGGTCCAAGCTATCTCATGGACTGCTTCCCCCTTTATGAGCCGGATTGAGTGTTAAGATCATCAGGAGAGGACTTTCTCTCCGCCCTGCTAGCTTGACAGGTGCATCTATGGGGACACAGGAGAGGGCCTTCTCTGTTGCTGTTTCCATACTTTGGAACTCCCTCCCACTGGAGGCCAGAGTGTCCCAATTTTTCCTGTCCTTCCCCAAGCAGGTGAAGACCTTTCTCTTCAGGCAAGCCTTCCCTCAGTGACTGGCTGCCTGAGTGGAGTCTTTAAATGGATTGTTGTATCTTATAGCTTTGAATGTGTTTTGGCGTTGCCTATGTTTTCCAGTAAGACATTTGTTTTTGTGTTTGTGTACTCACCATTGCTAGCTATAAACACTGTATTTTAATGATGTAAGCCACCTTGGGTCCTTTTTATGAAGAAAGTGAGAGTAAAAATGTTTTGAATGAATGAATGAATGAATGAATGAATGAATGAATGAATGAATGAATGAATGAATGAATGAATGAATGAATGAATGAATGAATGAATACTTAGTGGCCATGCTTGCTGGGAGATTCTTTCTCTTGATCTGAGATGTGCCTCAACCTCTACTTTTGGAGGGAAAGGCCCCCATGTGCTTGGACCACAAGCTGCTTCTATGGGTTTCTACGGATTTTTGTGATAGGGGTGGAGGTGAACATCTCTAACATTTCCCAAGATGGAGAAAAGCCCAGAAGGAACAGTGGCCACTGGAAGAAAAATCATAAAATTAAGAAACCATAAAATTCCCTTTGCTGACTGAGCTTGCAATATAGCCAATAATGACTTGGAGTCCCTGAAGAGTTAATGATATCAAAAAAGAGCAATTTAAAACAGAGAGTGTATATCAACAACTCTTTGCCTTGCGCTCTCTCTGTCTCTCTCTCATTATCTAAAATGCAAATACAATACATTATTGTAATACAATAATGCATGCTGTGGGACTGTTATCAGCTGCTACAAGGTTTATTTATCATTACAGTACTTTGATATACTGCTTGTGGTTTGAAAAATAAAAATAAGCACAAAGGCATTTTAACCTCATAGATTTGCATAAAGTTTTGCTGAATTTTTGTGTGTGTTTAACATTTTTCTCTTAAAAAAGCAGAGATTTGGTAGGTTTTCCTATGTGGTCTTTACACATAATATTTAGTCTAACCACGATGTGTGTGTTTGTGTTATGGTTCTCCATGTCCTGTCACTTGTGGGTAGTAGCACTGTGCCCAAGGACCTCCAGAAGGAGGGGGTGGCAGTCAGTATGACTGTACAGCATATAAATTTCCATGTCATAACTCAAGCACTGAAAAACTGTGGTTAACCAAGACAAGGCAGAGAGTGAAGGCATGAGCAATCAAAGTCCATTCCCCCCTCCCCATTCCATCACTCACCTAGTCCCAGTTCCTTGTGAGTGACATGGAAGCTGTTTCTCGTATGTTCTTTTTTCATTTAAGCATTGCTTCCCCATTGCTGCCCCCCCCCCGCCGCCCATCAATGATTGCCCGTGTGGGAAGGAACTTCAAAAGCTGTTCCAGATGGCATCAGACTACAGTTCCTATTACTGTAGCTCCAACCAGAACAGCTAACCATGAAGATCATCGTATTTGTTGTTCAACAGGTGTCCATCAGCGACTTAAGTGATTCTTTGCTCTAAATACCTTCAAGGGTGTGTGTGTGTGTGCTGCAATGGGACAGTAGCTCTTACACTGTGATCACTAAGCCTGCACTGGACCTTAGATGTTAAATTAACTTGAGCTAAATATCAGGGCACACCACTGTAGGTGACACAAAATGATAGTGAGGAGGATGAGCATGAAAGGAATGACAGTTAAAGTTACTAAAATGATTACATGCATGGTTCTTTCACAGGAACATATTGAATGACTTCTTGAAGAAAAATAAAATAAGGCAAACAATGGAATCTGTTGTTCATGATATCCTGATGCTGAAGGAAGCAAGGAGGATATGCCACCAGGTGTAAATGGTTAGCGTGTTGGACGAAGGCTTCAGAGACCTGTATCCAAACTTCCATTCAGCCATAAAGTTCAGAGTTATGCTGTCTGGAGGGACATGTGGCTTGCAGTGTAGGCACGCCATCTGATTCAAAGCACATTTAATTGGGGTAAGGGGAGGCCGAGTGTATTTAAGAG